GAGAGACACAGGAGAAATATGAGACAGTGCTCTGGCATAGACACAGGGAGTGGTCAGCAGGCATTATTAAAAATCAACTTTGTCATGCATGCCTGACCAGATATCAGAAGAAAAGTGCAACAACTTGAAAATTGGCAGGATTGGGGACTAGATGAATTATTGAGGGAGGCTTAGAATGTCTATGTCGGAAGGGAGGAGGGCAAAATGAAGAGAAAGGCTAAAATCGCCTGCGTCCTGCTCTGCAGAGCTGCCCCACATTGGGGGTCCCAGTGCCCCCATCCCCTACACGGCCCCGACTCCAGCACTGTCCCTGTCTGGGACTCACCCACAGCTCCCCAAGGCCCTTGTCCCCACCCAGGGTCTCTGCAGTGTCCTGGCCCTGGGCCCAGGCCAGCGCTGGCCCTCAGCAGGATGTGCCCATCCCGAGGGACGTGGGGAAGCGGGGGCTTGTCCCCAGGCAGCCCCAGGGAGCTCATGGGGCAAACAGAGGTGCCCAGTGAGGAGGAGGGATGTTGGTGCCCTGCCAGAATCTCTGATAAGCCCTGTTTACCCAGGGCACCAGGAAGACTTTCAGGTATCTTTGGCTTCCCCAGAACTGCAGCTCTTTGGCAAGTTCCAGGGAACACAGTCCAGAAATGTTTTCCCAGCTGGCCCACAACAGATTTCTGCTGCATCCTTGGTGTCCTGGAATGAGAGAATCAGAACCCTTCACTAATGACCTGGAATGTGGAACAGGAATTGCAGCCATGATGGGGCTCAGGAGCCACTTCTCAATGGATTTTCACTTCTTGGAAGCCAAAAATCCCTGAGTGTCTTCCTGTTGCCTCAGGGCCTGGGTAAACAGGGCTTATCAGAAATTCTGGCAGGGCACCAACATCCCTCCTCCTCACTGGGCACCTCTGTTTGCCCCATGAGCTCCCTGGGGCTGCCTGGGGACAAGCCCCGCTTCCCCACGTCCCTCGGGATGGGCACATCCTGCTGAGGGCCAGCGCTGGCCTGGGCCCAGGGCCAGGACACTGCAGAGAGCCTCTGTGGGGACAAGGGCCTTGGGGAGCTGTGGGCGAGTCCCGGGCAGGGACAGTGCTGGAGTCAGGGCCGTGTAGGGGATGGGGGCACTGGGACCCCCAGTGTGGGGCAGCTCTGCAGAGCAGGACCCAGGTGCTCGGGGAGGGCTCGGTGGCTGCAGGTGTGACAGGGTGAGGGTCAGGGCAGGGGATATTCCCATCTGGACTCTGCTCTGGAATGGGAAACAGGACCCGTTTGGGACTGGCAGGGAAAATGATATTGGGTTGTCTGGTTGTTGCAACTGCCACAGCTGAGCAGCTCCTGAGCCTCAGCCCTGTGTGCAGCTGATGATCATTGTCCAGTGCTCCCCGGGGTCTCCAGGGACAGGAGATCTCAGTGACCTGGCTGATCCCATTGCCCAGGACCCCATTGTTCTCACATGCCAGGTTTGGGGCTGGGCTCAGCCCCGGGGTGTCCCACAGGGAAAGCTCTGGCAGGGGAGGGCACCGGGACATGGGGGGATCTGGCTCTGGGGGCTGCTGGAGGATGGATCGTGTTGGAGTGGGGCTCGTCCCCACAGGGTCCCC